CGTCATTTTTCATCGCAGTTATGCAAACAAAGATGGTGTGACCTTTGGTTGTGCCAAAGTTGTTTGACCTTGTCTTAACAACTTGAGCCTATTGCAATGAGGCCTATGGAAACACATCCTGTCCACAGTCCATAGTATGCATGATAATTTCCAGAATCTGATCGTGTACTTGGTATGCTCTTAAGCGTTGTGCCGGCAGCGTCGGTGAGCCTTGCCAGCCTTAGCATCAAACTTCAACTCATCAAAGAGACACGGTGCTTTATTTTAGGTGCCCCTGACAATACGACCAAGTGCAAAATAGGAGCTATTTTCACCCTAATACTTTTAGTCATTTAGGCCATGCGAAATTCATTGGGAAACACATTTCTAATCATATAATTGTGTGAAAATTCAACATTTTAAATGAAACAGGAGGAATAAATCACATATATCCGATTTACGAGTATTCTCGGAAACCTAGTGTGAAAACAAGGTGTAACAAGTTCTATGACTAAATATTATTCCATTGTGTTATTCATACATACAGTATATATAACCAAGACCAATTCCATTTGGTAAGGTGTAAAGTTGTTTTATTGGTTCAGTTACTATGTCTATCTAGAGAATGAGGTGTATGTATGTTGAATGTGTGTATGTGCGTTCAAACATTTTTAAAGCTTCTAACTTAGCAAGTAATTACAACAAGGAATATCCTCTCTCATTTGTCAGCAAAATTTAATTGGACTTTTTTATAGTTAATGTATTCCATTCTATTTATTTTATTAGTTATCTATTTTAGATCATGTATTTTTTTATTTTTCTATATTTTGTGACCCTGTTCAATGACGTCTTACGCCAGTTTCGAGCGGAATTGGCCAGAGCCCTTTTTCGTCCTGCCAATTGACAGACATTCTCAGAGCTGGGTCTCATTCCCACGAAAACTTCAAATCAACACCAAGTCAACTGTACTAACTTTCATGCAAACCATACTCCCAAAAACAATTGAATAGATTGATAAAAGGCAAGTATGCATAAAAATATAGAATGATATGATTATTGACGGCTAAGGTCAATATGAGCATTTTAATGGTTGAGTGTGAGCGTACTCAGATTGACATGGAAAGGCATTAAATCATTCTATATTTTTCTTTATTATACATACATACATACACAAGTATATGATACATTGATGGGAAAAGCTTTATGGCAGAAAGGCTTTGTAAAATTTAATGGAAATGTTAGGTCTACTCATATCATTGTGGATAAATTCTACTACCAGCCTTTCATCACATTAAACGAAATGGGGTAAATACATCTCGTATATATGATCTACTGGTAGTCCCAAAAACCTACTTATGACTGAACTTCTGATAGTTGGCCTCTGCCAAAAAATCCTCGACTTAGAGTCTTGTGTCTTCGATGAATCTGTTCCCCTCTTTTGTATGTCATGGCAAAAACGTTTGTTTTTCGCAAAATTGCATCAACATACTAGGACCATAAATAGACAAAAATATGAAATTTTATTCTTTCGTTTGGCACGACGTTACCATCCACCACTATTCATCACAATACCATACTCCTTTGGACTTCGGCGAGGCTTTTTCGAACATTTTTTCCATCAAATTTTTCTGATATTGTTCCCACTTCGGACATTTTGTGTTGGCGTTAATGTTACACAATTAGAAATCAGCTATTGTCTCCTAACTCTCATTTCACACTCCGCTCTTTGCCGCTTCAAGTGCTGTTGTCTCTTGCCTAAACTTTTCTTTTATCCTCGATTTGGCCAGACTCCTGTTGTCTTTTTGCTCGGAAGGCGTTCAACACATGCACGCCGCAGGAATACAAACACCGGCGTAAGTACATGCCAACAAACACACAGGCACGTACGCACATGCATATTCACAAGCCTAACACACACACACACACACAGACAAACTGGCAAAGAATGACATACGGAAATCTCTAAAGTCAACACCAGACCGCGGAAAAAGCAAATTTTCCCGACAAATTATGCATTCAGACGAGGAGGCTTGTCAGGCAGACGGACAAGCGTCTCTGAGGCCTGCTCATTAAGTCCTGACATGTTGCCCTCCATCGATTGCTCCTTCTCAGTCCGACCTATCCTAAGCTCATCATGTCCTCTGGCCCCCTCAGCCCGTTGAGGGGGCTGGGGGTGACAAGGCAGTATCATGGCTGCTGTTGGTCGATGCGTCATCTTGTCTGTAGCCTTGTTGGCATGTGAGCACAGCCGGGGCTGCCGGAGTTGTCATGCCTCGGCAGACTCGAGTCGAATTTAGTCTCGATGGTAGCCAAGACAATCCGAGCCTTCTTACGTCACGCAAGACTAGGCTCGAAGACTGCCCGGCCGAGTCACCAATCGAAACGGCCGGAGAGTCAAGCGCAGTCGGATCGGTACTTTGTGAAGGAGACGTGAGAAACCGAGTCAAATCTCGAAACCGGGTCGTGAGGACGCATACGTAACTAGCGGATAATATGCGAAGAAAAGTTAGGTTTCGAGGACTTTCTTTTTCATAATTGTAAAAGTGTCTGGGGAATAGATTCGAAGGCCGGTTCCACCAGAAGACGACGGCTGATTCGTCTTGACCAGCTGCCGATTGGCTTTACTGGAGCCTTCACGGTGAGGCTGTTTCCGAGGCAATCTCCTTTGATTCCGGTGAAAAGGTGCTACACTTTCGTCCGTCATATGACATAGAGTATATATGCGACTTTTTAGGCATGTGCCGGTGGATTTTCTTGACTCGGTTGCTCGAATTTGATTGTAGGGATGATACCTTGGTCTGATGATGTGTTTTATATTACGGACGAAAGCTTAGTACGTTTTCACTGAAGTCGACAGTGATTACTTCAGAAACAGTATCAACAAGAATGCTCCAATCATGCCAATCGACAGTTGGTCAAGAGGAATCCGCCGTCACCATCTGGTGGAACCGACCCTCGAAGCTCTTCACCAAACACTTTCACTCGAAATGGAAGTAAGCTCAACAATCATCATATCGGAACACCATTTCTACAACTAATTCGAGAAAACTATTTTTTAAGCTCATTCCCATCTCGAGTGGGGCTGTGTGATTAAGAGACTTGCGTAGGTTGATCCGACCGGAAGATGAAGGCGGATTACGCGTGAACAATTGCCGTTTGGCGTTGCTGGGGCATTTTTGTTGTCGCTATTTCCGAGGCAATCTCCCATTCCGGTAAAAAAGTGCAAGGCTTTTGTTCGTCATATGACGGAACTCGTCAGAGCAGGATATCCTTCATACAACAATAGTCAAGCTAACAAATGAAGAAAGCTATTTTTCATTATAATTTAAAGAATTATAAACTGTACTGATGTTGCCCGTCAAATGACAGACAAAAGCTTAGCGCATCTTGACATAAATCGAAGGTGATTGCCTCGGGGACAGCGTCAGTAAATGTGCAAGTAAAGTCAATCAACAGATGATAAAGAGAAATCCGCCTTCGTCGTCTGGTCGATTCGACCTTCGAATCTCTCGAAATGGAAGCTCAACAATAGTGGAAACTAGCTGGGTGACTTTTTTATTCCTCTTTTCGATTTGTACCTACAAAATGTAAATGAGTTGAAATTGAACTTATAAGATTGCACTGTATTGTTCACATTTAATCTGTGTGAAAGTGTTTGATGAAGTGATGCTTAAGTTGAGCTGCATAGAAGACGACGCCAGATTTACGCTTCTCTACCATAATCGACTGATGCTACAATCACGTTCAGGTTGAAGCATTCGGCAAAACATCTTCCTTATGTTATCAAGACAAAATTAGACTCAGAAAAGTTGGCTAACCGGCTCTACTTTAAAACAATAACTAAAGCAGAAAATAAAAATTCGAAAAGAAATATTAAAAATACAAATTAGAATATAAAATATATAATGACAAT